TCATCATCATCATCATCATCATCATCATCATCATCATCATCATCATCATCATCATCATCATCATCATCATCATCATCATCATCATCATCATCATCATCATCATCATCATCATCATCATCATCATCATCATCATCATCATCATCATCATCATCATCATCATCATCATCATCATCATCATCATCATCATCATCATCATCGTCATCGTCATCGTCATCATCATCATCATCAGCATCATCATCATCAGCAGCAGCATCATCATCATAATCATCATCAGCAGCAGCATCATCAGCATCATCAGTATCATCATCGTCATCATCATCATCATCTTCTTCATAATCAGCATTATCCTCGTCGGCTCTGCTCGGCGAAATCAAAGCATGTACAGATTAGGCCTATCCCCGGTCTGGGCATAAACAGGCAAGGGAAGCTTGAGACCTAAAGGCCCTCTTCTGCGCTAGGTCAACTCATTCATCCAGCAACGCACAACGGACCAAGGACGAGCGAGACAGCCAGTCGCAGGACATGAACGGATAAAAGGGCCGCCAGAAAGTGCCCCACTCTCCGACACACTGAACTCTGTTCCCCACAAATATCATGCAAATTGACCTGCCACACAGAGGCAAACGCAACCGCTACGCGTACAAAAAAGAGAAGGCAGACATTGGTTTGGACAGTCCTTCTTTCACTCACGACTCAAGTTCAGATGATCACCCCGCACCCACACAACTCCTTCCTCCTCCTCCTCGTCCTCCTCCTCCTCATCGTCATCATCATCATCATCAGCAGCATCAGCATCATGATCAGCATCATCAGCAGCATCATCATCATCGTCATCATCATCAGCATCATCAGCAGCATCAGCATCATCATCAGTATCATCATCAGCAGCAGCAGCATCATCCTCCGCACCATCGACACCAGCATCATCAGCAGCAGCAGCACCATCATAATCAGCATCAGCATCATCAGCAGCATCATCAGCATCATCATCAGCATCATCAGCATCCGCATCATCATCAACAACATCAGTATCATCATCAGCATCATCAGCATCATCATCATCATCATCATCATCATCATCATCATCATCATCATCATCATTAGCATCATCACCGTCATCATCATAATCAGCATCATCGTCATTATCGTCATAATCATCATCAACATCACCATAATCAGCAGAAGCAGGAGCAGCATCAGCACCATGATCAGCAGCAGCATCATCATTAGCAGCAGCGTCAGCAACATCACCACCATCATCAGCAGCATCAGCATCATCAACAGCAGCATCATGAGCATCATCATCAGTATCATTATACTCCTACTCATACTCCTAATCCTACTCCTACTCCTCGTCCTCCTCATCCTCCTCGTTTTCGTATTTTGCGTCTTCGTATTAGTATTAAGTAACGTATGCGTAGTCGTCGTCTTACCCGCAATATTGATTTTAGTATGAGCATTGGCAGAATTAGTAATATCATAATGTTATATTGGGACTCGTCTTCGTCTGGGAATAAATAGTATTCGTAGTGTTATTGCGACTCATGTTCTTAGTCGGATTCGTATTATTCGCCTTATTGTTCGCCTTCTTCTTGGTGTTCGCGTTAGCCTTCTTATCCCCACTCGTATTATCAGTATTGGTAGGATTAGAGTGATGGTTTGTCTTATTAGTAGTAATTGCGGTATCACTGATAGCATTACATTTCGGTGTGCAAGTCTTACTCTACCTGGTCTTGTCATTACTCGTCGTAGTTGTCTTCCTCGTCTTCTTGTTAGGATTAGTATTAGTAGTGGTATTAACAGTAATAGTAGTAGTATCATGTGTCTTAGTCGTCGCCTCATTACCTATAGTCGTTATGTATGAGTATCCGTCTATTTCTTCGTATTATCATTCGTCTTCGTATCATTGATATTATTAATATTCCTCCTCATCCTCCTCTTCCTCCTAAAGTATTTCAAGACAAGTGATTCCTCGGGGACCAAGTGGAGACCGCTGGTCCACGGCAAGTCTCCAAATTGTTGACAGAGCCCCTGCGGTCGAGCTGCGCGCTGCCGCGGGTGAGCTGCACATTATTCGATCGTGCGCACGCCCAACGGTGCGGCTACAAGTGGCAGTCAGCACATGGTCGGGAAGCAGCAGGATGGTTATGTACCACGCGCGTCGTGCAGCTACGTGTGGAAATGGAAGGGTCGGAGGAAGTGCTTCAGCTGCGACAAGAGGGAGTTGGAACCCGTCCCCCCATGGAAGATGCGAGTGCAAGGTGAGTGGGTACGCAGGATACAGAACGTCCTCGCGCTGGAGCAAGGCATGACCTTGTGGGAATAATGGCCTAAGTCACGAGTCCGTGCATGGCATAGGGAGAAGTGGCACTGCCAGGGCGACACGGACGGAGGTGCTGCGACAAAGACAGCAGTGGAACTATTGTAAGCGTTGCAGCAGACAGCACCCCACCTGGATAAGGCCGCCATCGACGGGCTCCGGCAGCAGCTTCCAGCGCCCCAGCCAAACAAGGTTGTCGATCCCAGTCAGGCAGGTGTACCATGGTGCGATGGCCAAAGAACGCAAAGCGTAGGCAGTCTTGGACAAAGCAGAGAACAGCGAGAGAAAAGCGCGTGAGTACCACCAAGAACGGCAATAGGCATCAGAACAGGCAGCACGGACCTTGGCGCAAGCCCAAGCGGATGCTGAAGAAGCGCTCTTGGCTCTCCAGAAGAAGCGGCCAGGAGGTGCTACGGACGCAGGCACGAGCGACTCCAAGGCGAAGGCGGCGGCGAGCCTTACGATGCTCCTGGAGTCGGAGGCGCCCAGCTTCGACCCAGGCCCTGGGTTCGCGTTCGATCACCTGGATGTGGAAGAGAGCGACAAGGAGGCATTCATCGCCCTGCAGAACAGGTTCGCGGCGGAGCTCAAGAACAAGGTGCAAGAGTTATGGATTCGGCGAGTCAGCGAGAAACCTGGGCAAGGCGCGCACCGAGGCACAAACAGTGCAGGACCGCCAAAGGCGAAGAGGCCGAGACGTGATGAAGGCAAAGTGGCTCCAGCGGCAGCCCCGCCAGCCAAGGTAGACGCAGCGCCCAAACCTACGGTGACACCAGCTGCTACAGAGCACGCCAGGAAAGGAACTGCGACGGGAGCAGCAGCAGCAGCAGCTGCAGCAGCGGGCCGGGGCTGATATTCCTGTTGGTGCTGCTGCTCCAAACGGCAAGGTCCAGTTCCTGTTGCAGGCGGCCAGGGGAAGACAGCAGCAGCAGCAGCAGCAGCAGCAGCAGCAGCAGGCTTGATGACATCGGGGCGCGTGCTACCGCACTCACCCTAGCTTCTCCGAGAAGTAGCGAATGGAGTAGCCTGAGGGAGCCCGCTCAAGGACAGGGCTCGAACAGCCCTGTACCCACCCTGGGAGGGGAAGGGAGGGGAACGACCACCAAGATTTACGACCAGAGCCGATGGCCCAGGCAGGGGTGGGCACAGGGCTGACTGCGGCATCGGCATTCCCATTATCACCAAGGGCATCGGCCACCCGTCCGTCGATGGCCCTGGCGCGAGAGGGCTCAGGGCGCTGGGCTTCGACCGCCCGCACGTCCGCGGCCAGCCCACCCTGAGTTTTGCCTCTGCCGTCAGCAGTGGCCGCAATCCTGGTCGTCGCTCCCCTCCCTTCCCCCCTCGGGGTGGGCACAGGGCTGGCCGCGGCATGGGCACTCCCATCGCCACCAGGGGCTTCGGCCACCCGCCCGTTGACGGCCCCGGCGCCAGGGGGCTCCGGCGACTGGGCTTCGACCAGCCGGGGCAGGCCAGGGACGAGCACGGCCAGACCAGGCGGCGGAGGCGAGGCTCGGGATCGGCTGGCCGCGGACGCGCGGGCGGCCGCTGCCCGGCCGCCGGCGCCCTCGTGCTCCGGGGCCGCTGGCGGACGGGTGGCCGCAGCCCCTGAGAGGGACGGGAACGCCTCCGCTGCCCCACGCCCTGTGCCAGACCCCGCTGGGGAAGGGGGGGGAAGGACGACCGTGATTAGCAGGATATAACGCCGCAGGTGGTACAGTCAGCCAGTGCAGTAAGGATGCGCGACAAGGATGCAAGGGCCTTGGACGCCCATGCCGAGGCTCTTCGAGCGGGGCTGGCCTTCGAAAGTGGTTGAGCATGGGCCGAAGATGACCGAAGAGGCAAGGATGCAAGGGTACCCCTGGGAAGTCGCTCATCCCTACTGTACGGGTCGACTGTACTGGGCAGGCAATGCTCGGGAGAGAACGGCCACGGACGCGCGGGTGGCCGATGCCCAGCCCCCGGAGCAGCGCGGCCCTGGAGCCGTCGACGGAGGGGCGGCCGAAGCCTCGCTCCCGCGGTGGCGGCGAAGCCAGCTGCGATGGTGGCGCGAGTGGCCCTGGCATCGAGACGGCGACCCATGATGGGCTTGCTTTCCACCACCAGCACCATAAGTTGGAGGGGGAGGGGGTCCTCCTCCTCCTCCTCCTCCTCCTCCTCCTCCTCCTCCTCCTCCTCCTCGTCCTCGTCCTCGTTCTCCTCCTCCTCCTCCTCCTCCTCCTCCTCCACCTCCTTCCCCCCTCCAACGTATGGTGGTGGTGGTGGAAAACAGGCCCATCAACCCAGACTCTTTCTCCCAGCGGTGGCGTTTTTGCTGACGGTGGGGGAATGGAGAACGGCATAGCCAGTTTCGGTTCTGAGAATCAGATCGCCCAATCCAGTGGCGGCGTGGAAGCTGACAGTGAAATTGGTGGGCTGGGTATTCCCAGCATTTCCAATGGGGTGGGTCACGGTTGAAATAACACTTCCAACCAGAAGCCAAGATGTGGCGACGGATCCAGCGCTGCAGCCAGTCAGAACCTCCTCGCCCGGAGCCTCGACCCACGGTGCGAAGGAAAGGTGACGAACGAGATCATGCCCAAAGTTCGACGCGCCTCCTCATCCTCCGTCTCCTTCTCCTCCCTCCTCCTCCTTCTCACCATGCACGCCCATCCTCCTCATTCTTCTACTCCTCTCCTGCTCACCTCGATCGTTTTCACCGCGGAGGAGAAATTCTTGAACCCGAACTTGGCCGTGTCGAGCTTCTCGCCGGCGTGCTCCTTCCTCCAGGCGTCTTTCAGGGCGCCTGGGCGGGGGGGGCGTGCCGCGCAGGGGAGGAGAAGGAGGAGGGACTCAGTCTCCCCATCTTCGTCCCTGCTCCTCCTGCTGATGCTGGTGCTGCTGCCGTCCTCCCCCTCCTCCCCCTCCTCCTCCTCCTCCTCCTCCTCCTCCTCCTCCTCCTCCTCCTCCTCCTCCTCCTCCTCCTCCTCCTCCTCCTTTTCTTCCTCCTTTTCTTCCTCCTCATCCTCCTCATCTTCACCCAGGTCGTGGTCTTTCTTCTGCTCCACGCTATCAGCCGCGTCCTCCGCCTCCTCCCAGTGATCCTTCCCGTCATCGCAGCCATCATTATCGCTAGCATCACCATCGTCATTAACATTATCGTCATCCTTGCCACCACATGATCACAATCGCTATCATCATCAGCAGCAGCATCGCCAGCTCCATCGGTACTATCGTCACCCCCCAACATAATCTACACTATCATAATCAAAATCGTCGTCATCAACATCGGCATTGAGGTTATAGCATCGCCGTCAGCCCCACCTGGCACATGTATGGCATACTGTGGCCCGTCATGAACATCATCGTCATAGTCATCGACATCACAGCACCATCCTCCTCAGACGACTCATCCGCATGATCATGACCATCATCTATATCCCAAACGCCTGGCCCGCCTCCTCCTCCTCCTCTTCTTCTCCTCCTCCTCCTCCTCCTCCTCATGCTCAATTCCTCCCCGCTTGGCATCATATAATAGTTGTCCCTCTTCTTATCCTCATGATAGTCATCATCATCCTCCGCCTCAGCACCCCCTACTCCTCCTCCCCCTTCTCCGCCCACCTCAGTCCCCGCCTACTCCTCCCCTTCCCCGCCTCGTACTGGTGACTATTTCGAAACGGCCCGGTGTCACTGAGGTTCATGCCCTCGTACTTCCGGCGCATCAGCGTCTTGATCTCCTGCACCCGCTCGGTCGATGTCAGGCGAGGAGGGAGGAGGGAGGAGAGAGGGAGGGAGGGAGAGAGGGAGAGGAGGAAGCAGGAGGGCCACCAGCAGCATGATTTGGGGCAGTAGGAGCAATAGGAGGGGGGAGGAGGATGGAAACGAGGAGGAGGCGGCAAGGAGGAGAGAGGACGGATGAGGGGGTGGGGGGGGTGCGAAGAAGGAAAAGGATGAAGAGAAGGAGGGGGAGGGACAGGATGAGGGAGGCAGGAAGGCGGAGGAGGGAGGACGAGGAGGGAGGCAGAAAGGAGGCGGGAACAGGTACGATGGAGGAGGGGCGACTGGTAGAGGAGATGAAGGAGGGAAGGACAGAGAAAGGGAGCGACGAGGGCGGGGGGAGCAAGGAGGGACCAACACGGAGGACGGAGAAGGGATAAGGACGAAGACGGAGGCAGGAGGGAAAGGAGCAGGGCGGAGGAGTCGAAAATGGGTGGGGAGAGAGTGCGGAAACAGAAGGAGAGGCGAGAGAGGAGGCAGGGAGAGAGGAGGCACGAGAGAGCCGGCAGGAGGGGAGCAGGAGGCTGAAGGAGGCGCTCGCACCTCCTCCTCCCGGTGCCGGCACCCCCCCCGGTGCTGGCACCCCCCTTCCAGTGCCGGCATGCCAGCACCTCCCCCCCGGTGCCGGCCTCCCGCCCTGCCGGCACCCCCCCCCGGTGCGGGCGTCCCCCTCCATCGTGGTGTCCGCCCCCTCCCCTGGTGCCGGCCCCCCCCCCCGCCCCCTCCAGTGCATCCGCTCCCCTGGTGCCGGCACCCGCTCCCCTGGTGCCAGCCCCCCCTCCCTGGTGCCCCCCCCCCTCCCTGGGCCGCCCCCCCCCCCCCCCGCGCCGACATTCCCTCCCCTCGGTGCCGGCGCTCACTCCCAGGTGCCGACCCCCCCTCCCCGGTGCCAGCACCTCCCCCTCCTCCTCCTCCTCCTCCTCCTCCTCCTCCTGCTCCTCCTCATCATCATCATCATCATCATCATCATCATCATCATTATCATCATCATCATCATCACCATCATCATTATCCTCATCCTTCTCCTCCTCCTCCTCCTCCTCGGCCGTCGGCCACCGTTCGCCATCAGTCGTCAGTCGTCAGTCGTCAGTCGTCAGTCGCCCGTCGCCCGTCGTCGTCGTCGTCGTCGTCGTCGTCGTCCGTCGTCGTCGTCGTCGTCGTCGTCGTTCGTCGGTCGTCGGCGGTCGTCGTCGTCGTCGTCGTCGTCGTCGTCGTCGTCGTCGTCGTCGTCGTCGTCGTCGTCGTCGTCGTCGTCGTCGTCGTCGCGTCGTCGTCGTCGTCGTCGTCGTCGTCGTCGTCGTCGTCGTCGTCGTCGTCGTCGACGTCGTCGTCGTCGTCGTCGTCGTCGTCGTCGTCGTCGTCGTCGTCGTCGTCGTCGTCGTCATAATCGTCGTCGTCGTCAATCATCGTCGTTAACCCGTTCGTCAGTCGTCGTAAAAATTATCCCGCTCGTCGACGGTTGGTCGTCCGTTGTCGTCGTCATCGTCCATTCCCACACGCATCAGGAGCGCTCCGGATCGGCGGCACTGGCCGGAGGCCACTACAATATGATCCTGAAGCTGCACGCTTACAAGTTTCGCGAATGGAGATCGGGCCGTGTTCAAAATTGGCTCTCGCCTTCGCGCGCATACACACGTCTCAAAAGTTCGCAGCAGCTTCACAGAGGGAGGGCGGCGCAAAATCGCACTGTGGCTCTCGCCTCAGCGCCGCCAGCATTCACGGTAAAAGCTTGCAACAGCTTCCAGGGTGAAGGCGGCCTTTTCAAACTGTGGTTCTCGCCTCAGCGCCGCGCCTATTCGCTGTTTCACAACACTGTAACTGATGGAGGGCAAGCCGTTTTCAAAACTGTGGCTCCCACATTAGCGCCGAGCACATTCGCATTAAAGTTCGCAACAACTTCAAGGGCGGAGGGCGGTTCTTTTTCAAACTGTGGCTCTCGCCTCAGCGCCGCGCACATTCGTTCAACGATTCGTATAGCTGAAATTCCAAAAACAGCGTTCCGGCACGATTTGGGATTGTCACGACGCAACCATATGATTGATTCGCTGTGGTGAAATCCCAGAAACGGTGTTCCGTCACGGTTTAACAGTGTCAGGACGCAACTGTAACATTGATTCGCGGCGTTGAATACCAAGGAATGGCGAATGGGCACGATTAAGAATTTTCAGACGTCTGCCTTCTTATGGAACACTACCCGCGGTGGCAGGGGAGGGAGGGTTGATTGCAGCTTCGTTGATGCGTCTTGGGTTTACACTGGTCCTCCTCCTCTTCCTCCTCCTCCTCCTCGATCTTACCCTCCGGCACCTTCCCGTCATGGTCACCGACATTCCCGTATCATCCTACCCCTACTCCTCGACCTTCGCGTCCTGTTCTTGCTCATCAACAAGATTCGCGTCCTCCTCCTCCTCCTCCTCCTCATCATTAGCATAGACCCTTGCCCTCATCCTCATCCTCATGCTCATCCTCTTTCTCATCATCCTGGTCGACAGCGTCAACGCCATCATCATCGCTGCATTCGCATCAGCAGCAGCAGCAGCAGCAGCATCGTCAGTGCAATCTTCATACTCGTTACCATTGGCATTGTCATTGCCGTCAGCACCACCACTGTCGTCCTCACGTGCACCTGGTTACTCATCAGCGCCGCCACGATCGGCATGTCTTCAAATCGCATGTTCACTGCCATCGTTGTTGTCATCGTCACCGTCGGTGTCGTCAATCTCGCCAGCGTAGCCATCGCCATAGACAACATCGCCATCTTCAACAGCACCAAAATCCTCTTCATCCTCATGATCGCCATCACCATATCATCTCGTCATCATCATCATCAGCAGCAGCATCCCCCTCGACTGATACCACTACCAACACTGCCAGTACCATTCCTATTACCACAGATACCTCCACTTCGTCCTGCTCACTGCTCCAGTTCTGTTTCTCCTCTCCTCTCCCCTCCGACACCCTCCTTCCTCTCCCTCCCCCTCTCACCGCCGGAGGGAGGTCCTCCCTCAACTCTTCCGGCAGCTCGAACTCCACTTTCACGCCAGGCTCGGCCTTGGCCACGCGCATCACGCGCCCGCGCAGCTCGACCTCGGGGCCCAGCCGCAAGTCGTGTCGCGCACTCCCGCCCGCCCTCCCATTGCATAAGTAGCACCCGAGACTCAGCGCAAGCAAGGGCTGCCATCGACACCCGTCGGGACCCAGTGCAGACGCCAACCAGGCGCGCGATGCTCGCGAGAGGCTCCGCACGTGCCAGGTGCGCCACGCCTACCAGGTGCGCCACACTGCAATATATCGACCGCCCCACCATCCCTGTCAAAGACCAACGCAAATTGACTGCGGGTTTGCGAGCACTGTGTGTTGTGTGTGGGCGTGCGCCCGCAATCACTTTGCACTTGTTTTTGACAGGGACAGTAGGCCTGCGCACAGCAGGCAGCATGCCATCCCCCCGCCGTCTCAGGCAAAGTGAATGTGTAGTGAATATGTGTCTATTCATGTGTGTATATAAATAAATTTATATATATATATATATAGAAAGAGAGATGTCTGCATGCCTGCCTGCCTGTCTGTCTGCCTGCCTCCCTGCCTATCTGTCTGTCGGTCTTTCTGTCTGTCTGTCTGTATGCATGTACGTACGTATGTCTGTATGTCGTGTATGCCTGTATGTCAGGATGTATGTATGTCTGTATGCCTGTATGTCAGTGTGTCTGTATGTATGTATGTATGTATGTTTGATTGTATGTGTATGTGTGTATGCATGTAGGTGTGTATAAGTGTCGGTGTATCTATATGTATATACGTTGAAAGGGATTGTGAACCTGCACGCAGCAGGCAATATGCCAGCCCCCCTGCCGGCCCTGTCAAAGACCGATGCAAAGTGACCGCGGGGCGTCCGCGCATGATCCAGATGTTGGTGCAACGTGCATGTTGTTT